AATTGTTCTTCCTATGTAAATAACTTGTTACTTTAATGTAATTTATTATGTCAACTACATAATGTAATGACTTGAAATGTAATCTTTTGTCTTAATAAATGCCAGAAAAGGTTAGTGCAGTGGGGCAATACCATTTTTGTCTATGACGATGTCGTGGTGCCCCCTGCACTTTTTCCTGTCCTGTCCTGCCTTCCTGGACATTATAGACTATCCCTTTTGTACCAGGAACCGGATTCGTGTATTTTGTACCTTCGGTGCCAAGGCTATCCTAGACAGAACACTAGTCAAACCACGGAAGAGGTAATGATATTAAATTCTGGTAAAGTTTATAGCCTTGGAGAGAAATTACTGGAAATTATCTTCATCACGGATTGTAAGATGCTTATCGGTTAATCAAGTTATTTTTTTTATTAATTTTCAACTGTGAAAAAAAAGCTGCTCATATATAAATGCATTCCCAAACAAAACGATTATTCTTAGCGCAAAAGTTCGTAACTGAGTTTATTTATTTTTTGACAAGTGCGAAAAATAAAAGTTAATGAAGTCTGTATGTTGAAATCTTTGAATAAGATTTATATCATAATGTAAATTAATTAACTAAATTTACAGACTTTCCGGAATATTGTTCATGTTCGTTTTCAATGGAAATGAAAATAATATAAACTCGAACTTCAAATAACTAATATTGACATTGATAATGACATTTTTTATTACAGAATACTCCCTGTGAATATTTTATTTAAATATAAATGAGTAAATACCATTTGAGAGGTGTAACGCGTGCGGTAACAGAAAATTATAGTTATAATTTAAAAAGATTGTTCCCTTATCAATCATTTCTGTTCTCTATAGGGCACAAAATACCTCTAATAATTAGATGTTTAAGTCTATGAGTAGATTTTTTATTACAGAATACTCCCTGTGAATATGAAATTTAAATTTTATTTAAATATAAATGAGTAAATACCATTTGAGAGGTGTAACGCGTGCGGTAACAGAAAATTATAGTTATAATTTAAAAAGATTGTTCCCTTATCAATCATTTCTGTTCTCTATAGGGCACAAAATACCTCTAATAATTAGATGTTTAAGTCTACGAGTAGATGACACTACTAGTCTGTTCCAGCTCAAAATTTTTGCAACGTGGATATGCCTTGAATCAGAGTCTTAGCATCAACAAGCCTTGGTTGTGAATTACAATATTTAATTCAAAATAAATGAACTAATTTGAATAATTAACCTAGCATAATGTGCTACTTTGATTGCTGATTATTACTAGCATCCTCAATTTCTTCGTCGACAATGACTTGTGATTGCTATTGATGTAAGGTTTTCTAACACATCGTAGTTTATACTTAGGTAAGTTGAAAAATAAGTTTCCCCTGTCGACTGTGATCAGAGTTGTGTATGAAAGTCAAAAAATAGAATGAGACATTAAAGATATGACATACCTTTATTCTTCCACATAGGTACCGAGTACATTGAGACATTTGTCATATCGCTTTTATAAGCTTCAAAAAGCCCTCCAGGAAAAAATCAGGGCTTTGCATATGGAAGAAGCGTTGAACGGCTATGGGCGAAAGGCGACACAGCAGGAAAACGCGCAAGTCACCGATACACCATTGGGTAGAGGTTGCTGCAAATCAAGCAAATGGCACTGTTGCAGTGCCTGCGCAAAGCGGAGACCAGCCTCTCATTTGATCCCCGGTAGGTGTGGAGAGAAGGTGCGTTTTGAATTCGTGGTCAAAGGAGGGCGGTTATCCGCTATGAATGGGCACGTGGAGTATCAGGAACAGAAATTCATAACCGCCTCGTGGAAGTCTATGGGCCAGGTGTGATGTCGAAGCAAATGGTGCGGAGATGGTGTCGCACATTCGGTGATGGACGTCAGCAAGTGGAGGACATACCGAGAGCTGGACGGACGCGCACGGCCACTACAGATGCAAATGTCAGGAAGGTGGATGACATGATTAGAGTGAACCGGCGTATCACCATCGATGAAGTAGCGGAAGAACTTGGAATCTCACATGAGCGAGCTCAAAACATCATCCACGACATTCTTCGATGCAGAAAAGTGTCAGCACGATGGGTGCCCCGACAATTGACCTCGACACACAAGGAACAACGCATGGGGGTCAGCCTGGAGCATCTCGTGCGTTACCATGAAGATGGTAACGCACGAGACTTTCTGTTTCTGATTGTGACGGGGGATGAACGTGGGTCCACCATTTCACGCCAGAATCGAAGGTCGCATCTATGGAGTGGAAACATCCGTCATCACCTGTCCGAAAGAAGTTCAAAACAACTCCCTCTGCAGGTAAAGTGCTCCTCACAGTTTTCTGGGACGCCCAAGGAGTTTTGTTGCTGGACTTTTTGGAGGTTGAAACCATCAATGCTACGCGCTACTGTGACACCCTGTCGAAATTGAAAGAGGCGATTCGGAAAAAGCGGCCTGACCTTCTCACATCTGGCGTTCTGCTGTTGGATGACAATGCCAGACCACATTCGGCGACGGCAACGCAAAACCATATTGCAACTCTTGGTTGGGAGCGCCTACACCATCCGCCATACAGTCCTGATCTCGCACCAAGCGAATTCCATCTGTTTCCGGCTTAAGACAAATCTCGGGGGAAGGCGCTTTGGAAGCAATACTGAAGTGAAACAAGCCGTTCAACGCTTCTTCCACATGCAAAGCCCTGATTTTTTCCTGGAGGGCTTTTTGAAGCTTATCAAACGATATGACAAATGTCTGAATGTACTTGGTACCTATGTGGAAAAATAAAGGTATGTCATATCTTTAATGTCTCATTCTATTTTTTGACTTTCATACACAACTCTGACCACAGTCGACAGAGGAAACTTATTTTTCAACTTACCCTTATTTTATTAAGTGCCCGTACTGGCAAACATTTTCAGCGATTACAGCTCTCATTAGCTATAAAATTTATTACTAACTCAGGGACAGCTTCTTATTTAAATTTTATCTACTGTCAAGTGAATATGCAGTGAGATTGAACATTTTCTTACTAGCCGTTTTTGAGATACTCTTCATAAGCTATGGCATCCATTTATGGCCACCCTATACATTTCTCGAGAAAATAAGCGGGAATATTTATTTACATATTTCACATTTTTTAAATGGCACATTTCCATATTAAAATAAAGAGCTATTACTCCTACATCCTTGTTAAGAGAAGTTAGAGGCAAGGATGAGAAAGTCTTTCAAGATGCTCCTAAATTCTTCAGAGATTTCTTCTCAGAAGGACAAACTGTCGTTCTACTGAAGTAAGGTTTGTTTGTTTATTACTAAATAAACTCAAATATTTCCTTTAACTTTTGTACAATTATGAATTTATAGCTAATTATCTACCTAACAAAGCCATTTATTTTAGAAACAAGAAGTCAAAGAGATCAATGCTTTAAATAAAATTATGACAAATTAACTGTGTGCCTGAATGTAAAAAAGGAAAAAAAATGTATTAAATGAAAAAGTTTTAGGAACTTTTATATTAATTTATACATCGAATACTATACACATATCACATACACATATGTATAGAAAATGAATCATCGAATCTTGCGAACTTTTACTTTTCTACTGATGGCAATTCTTGCCTATCTGTAAAATAGTACAAGGAAAGTTAAGCTCAGCGTATAGAAAATTTTAATTTTAGTACCAGGGAAAACAATACAGCATGGCGATCTCCCTGATTCAATTTTCACAGGACTAGGAATTGTATGTTGATTATTGCAAGTTAGAATTAAGAAGATGAAGATTTACGTGAAAAGTATTTCAGCTAATGAACAGCTGTAAGAACTTTCTTTCATGGTACTATGATGGCATTACATTATTGATTATTGATGATGTAACTGTCATGCCGGATTGAAAGACAGATTCTCAACCTCTGTTAAAGGACATCATTGAAAGAATTTTTGATACCTAATAAAAGACAAATGTTACGGTCCTAAAGAGAGAAACTGGTCTCATAAATGAAATTAATGTAATTTTATGGAAATATGTGATTATGTGATTTTTAAGTTAATACTTTTTTGGAGCAATCATTGAAAGAAGGCGTAAATTTCGCCATTGTCAAGTGAATTCAAATTAGAGATGAAGTTTTCAAATTTCCCAGAAAATATACTAGAAATGATACATGTTAAACTAACTAAGGGTAATAAAAAATTAATTTCAAAATCTAAAATAGAATTAAGAAGTGATGAAATTATAGTTAACATTCTAGGTCACACGCATATACTGTAAAGAGTTTTAATGAAATCTCTGAAAATGCTACAGAACAGTAATCTTAATAAATAGAGAAGCACTTTTAAAAATTGCATCCTTAGATTTGCTTTACATTTCAAATTCTGTCTCGATTAAAAATTTTTAATATTGAGTAACATTTTTTCCTTCTTATTTTATGATTCTTACATGAAGGTTTCGAGAGAAAATCTTTTAGGATTTGGTTTTCGGAAGGTTTAGTATTCGTCCCATCTGAAATATGTATTTATACATACATACATCTATGCATACATACATACATCTATGCATACATACATGCATAATTAGTTCTGCTAACTTTTCCCATTTAATCATTTCTGGTTTTATTTTTGTTTAAGGGATTGAATTTTTATTTGATTACTAAGTTAGATACCTTAGATTTAAGTTTGAATTTAATATTTTTATAATTCAGAAATTAATCATTTAATGACTTTGTAGAGTCATTAGGAAATTTTTTAGAGGCAGAAAAGATGAAAAATTAACAACCGCCTTCGCCGGGAATCGAACCACGGACCTCTGGAATACCGGCCCAGCGTGCAGAACCACTACACCACGAAGGACGCTAGGAAAGTGGGAGAAATACCTTATAACTTAACGTTAACAAAAGTTTTACTTTTTACTACTGCAATTGAATTAAAAAGCAGCATTTGTGTTTTGTGTTATAGGTTTTAGTAATGATTTTTAGTTTCATCAGATTTTTCTAATTTTGATGGACACTTACCTTCGCACGTTCGGCCGTTGAGATTCAACACATAACCTGGTCGGCAGCGACAACGAGTCCTTCCGTGAGATTCGTCGCATATATGCTGACAACCTCCATTGTTAATACTGCATCGATTCACCATATCTGAAGAAAATTCCAACTCACATACATTTCATCCAAAAAAATAAAAGAGATACAGTATTTATACTTTCTCAGTCTATATATAAAACTGGAAAATAAACTGATGACAATTTTAAATTTAAAAACAAAGATGAAAGTAGGAAAAAAAAAAAGATTCAACTTCAATAATGAGCAACATATTTAAATAATGAGCAACATATTTAAATAAACCATTTATAAAAGATAAAGTAAAAATAGATTATAATCAATCAGAGATAAAAAAAAAGCAATTTTTAAAAAAATAAGTGCTCATTTGATTATTTTCAAAAGCTTTCTACCGAGATTTACAAAATGCAGATTGATATTGTTGCGTTTTCCTTTTCTGACACCAGTTGTTACGTTATTTTCTTCCTTCACGTTCGTACGGGGTTCGTGTGGATTTGGAGTGCATAACGATGACACTTAATGAAGTATCGAAACACACTTTATTTAGCCAGTACTAATCAAGACAGCTCCAAAATCACTTTTACAGTCGTCGAACTGTTATAAACACGCTGACACTTTCAGCGACACAGCCTTCACACTGTCAGGCAATAACGGTGGAGACAGCTTCACTGCAAAGCACCAGAATACAGCTTCCGACTCTGCTCGGTCGTTCTCGGAACTCCACGTACTCTCGAGACTCTCCACGCTACAACTCGCGATGCACTCAACGACACACAGAGCAAGCTCCCGACACTTCGAGTCAGTCGTTCCCGGAGCTCAACATGCTCTCTCGACGATGCGCTAACCGCGATACACTATGAGACTCCTTCGGTGCACTCGACGACCCACTCGGCACTCGCTGCCCGGCTGTCAACTTAATCGACTTCGCACGGACTGACTAACTCGAGACACGCTGACTCGTACTCTAGACGAGGAACACACTAACTGACTGCGGACCAGCAGGGTTTATATAGCTTTCGGCTTGTGTTCGAGAACATTCTGGGCTGAGCTGGTAAGAATTCGTTTCAGAAGGTTCTCCATCCGTCCATGGCATATCGCCAGTTTTGTCGTCAAATATCGCCAAAGAGGCGATTTCTCGCCAAATGTGGCAACCCTGCCTTCCTTGCTATTTTGTCGCAACCCTAAAACTGCTTTGCGGGGAAGCCATATCCACCGAGCCTGTACAATATGGAAACAATATGGAAACCAAAATTCGTTAATGTTATTAACAAATTCTGCTTTTATTAGTTTGCATGCATTGAACAACTGCACGAATTTTAAACTGGATAATAATTTATATAACTTTTATGGCATTACATATAGATTATGCCTCATGCTTTAGTTTTATTTTGAATGCTTAGTTGGGCTTTGGGAAGGTGAAATTACTTCAAAGATTTTTAACTCATAAAAAAATGGCTTAACGGCCTTAAAATTCGCAATTTTCTAAATAATGGGAAGTTACTAAACGAGATTATACTTGTTAAAAGGTCGATCTAAGGTGTGTAACAGCTAATTAGAAGACAATCTTCCGTAAACCATTTTGAAAAAGGTAACTTGTGCACGAAGGATATTAAAAATAAAAAGCTGATTTCGACTTTGTTGGGCATGAAATCTGGGACGAGAGTCCTAATCATGTCATTTACATCGGTCCTTTTAGAGGCGTTAAGAATTTGAAAGAACAATTTCGTTTTGCTAAAGTAGAACAAAGCCTAAATTTTTTTCAACGCGAATTATATAAGATTCTCAAATTTGTTGAAATTTTCAATTTAGGAATTATAAGAAAAAGATAGAAAGATATAAACTTCTCATTTAATACTGCAGTTTTTAGTTAAAATTTAAAAATCTGTTTTCAGTGAAAAACAAGTTTAAGAACACAGTTTTTAAATATACAGCTACATTTATTAGGAAGATATAAACAGAATTATTAAAGTGCATAACTTGTGAAGACCATTAGACATTTTGGAACAGAAAACATGAAAAATCAGTAGTGCTCTCATCTGGATTTGAACCATGGACCTTAAAGTTATTGGCTGACTGAGCTACGGCAGTATGCACAAGAGGATTAAGATAGCTTTTTTTCTATACTCCTGCTCATTTAAAGGGTGACTGAGGAGTGCCTCGAAACCCATTCGACCACATGTAGGTGAATTATTGTCCACCACATTTTAGCTCGCGAGCGAATGTGTACTTTTATAATTTCATGAGTCAGGAAACTTGAAAAAACAACTGTAATCTCTCCAGGACTCGATCTAGCTGGACTTATACGATGACAGCGCGTAATGTCATATTCCTTACAAGTTAAATCTCTTGAATCCTAAGGTTCACTTTCTCAATATACCGGGTGATCAAAAACTCAGTATAAATTTGAAAACTTAATAAATCATGGAATAATGTTGATAGAGAGGTAAAAATTGACACACATACTTAGAATGACATGGGGTTTTATTAGAACCAAAAAAAAAAGTTCAAAAGTATGGGTTGGATTTACCACATCTACTGTTATCGGGCCTTTTTTCTTCGAGGAAATGCGTGATTCTGGTTTTGTAACTGCTACCGTGACGGGTGAGAGGTACGCCGATATGTTACAGAATCGCATCGTCCCCAGCCTTTCTGATAAACACCTGCTGGAACGTACGATTTTTATGCAGGATGGCGCTCCACCCCATATTGCTAGACGCGTGAAAGATCTCTTGCGCGCGTCGTTTGGTGACGATCGTGTGCTCAGCCGCCACTTTCGTCATGCTTGGTCTCCCAGGTCACCAGACCTCAGTCCGTGCGATTATTGGCTTTGTGTTACCTGAAGTCGTGATCAACCGACATCTCTAGAGATGTTGAAAGACAACATCCGACGCCAATGCCTCACCATAACTCCGAATATGCTTTACAGTGCTGTTCACAACATTATTCCTCGACTACAGCTATTGCTGAGGAATGACGGTGAACATATTGAGCATTTCCTGTAAAGAACATCATCTTTGCTTTGTCTTAATTTGTTATGCTAATTATTGCTTTTCTGATCAGATTATTGCTTTTCTAATTATTGCTTTTCTAATAAAACCCCATGTCACTCTAAGTATGTGTGTCAATTTTTACCTCTCTATCTACATTATTTCGTGATTTAATAAGTTTTCAAATTTATACTGACTTTTTGATCACCCGGTATTTTGAAGGACAAGTCTTTGAGTTACAGAGCATATTTTTCATCCCTGTCCCCAGTTTTTCTAAATCATAGCAAGTACGGGAGGTGAAGATTATTTCAAGAATCAACACAGATATACACTATACATTGAATGCTAAATTATCTCTAGAAAATTAAAAGCGCGGAGCTCAGAGTAGCTACAAGATGATATTTGGTTAGAATTAGTAAGATTTGAATAAAGAAATGTTTTATCGAATAAAGAAAGTTAGTTCTTTCAGGAACATTTAAAAATATTATAGGTATAAAATTAAGAACATAAACTAGCTAGCCTCCTCCTTCCAAATAAAATCTATAAAATTCTGAAATATGATCCATAAACTCCGATAATTTCATCTAATGAAAATAAAATTCGACAGAACTGATTGAGGAATCTTTCATTTCATTTGTTACATATTTATCTCTTTGTTAAACGGATAAGATAGTACTTTCATACTTACCTACACAATATTTTATACAATTCAACCAAACTATTTTTTAATTTACATTTTTTAAATTAGAAAAACCACAGAAAATTTGACAGAATTAAGGAAGTTTATTGACTTTCGCAATTGTATAATCAGATCTAGTAGATGCAAATGTTTAGTTGTACAGAAATTCACCTCTGAAAACTTCAGCTATGCCATTTTATTGTTTGTTAAAACTTGGATGCAGAATGCTATATAACTACTCTTAAATATTAAGTACTGAATTTTCAATAGTTGCATTGTAAGTTAGATTTATTAAAAGTATTAGACACAGAGAAATACTTCAGAACTCGATAATAAAGGCTTAATCAAACTTAATTTGAGACAATTCATAAACATTTTATCAAAACATATTATTTTCTTTCATTGCATAGTACAGAAAGCTTAAATTTTTTTCAGTTGACAATCAGGAGGCATTTGGATTTACTAGCAGATATAGCATTTTAGAGATAAAAAGGTCTTACAAAAGATATTCTTTTTCTTTGCATGAAGTTTCAATCATGACTTCTCAGAAACATTTAGACGTTTTTTTCCCTTCCACATAACCTTAACTGCAGTAAGAATGCACTGGGGTAAAAATTCCATCGTCATTGGAATCAATTGAGATCATTGATCGAAGAAGGGAAAAAAAAATCTGCCATACATGTTCAAAATGACCTTGCTGAACACAAGGGTCCAATTGTGAATAAACGTTAAAGAACTTAAAAGGCATGAGTAACGTAGAATATGCACACACACATGCAGGCAGACACAAAGCCATTTCCATCGCAATACAGATATAGGCATAGAAAGAAAATAAAATAGCAAGCTTTTAGGATGCGGGTATTCGTTTATTATTTCTCTTCTATCCTAAAAGATAGCTACTCTAGCCATTAGACAGAAAGATGCTGAGTTAATCGATTTTTTTTTGGTGAACTCAAAAGCTTTTCATTGGGGATTCTGATATGACTTAAGGTTCGGCGGAGTGCCTTAAATCATGATTCGCATGAATAAAGACATGCGTTAGGATTTCTAAATCGTGGAATGCGTGCTTATTCAACATCTAGACATTGGGGTTATTTTCCTTACCAATGCACGTAAGACCATCTGTATGAAGTCTCTGCCCTGGTTCACATTCACAAGAATAACCTCCTTCATAATTAATGCATTTGTTTTGGCATCCTCCGTTGTAGTTTTGGCATTCATCGATATCTAAAGATGATAACGTAATGGACACAGTTAGTATTAAAAGCAAAAGAAAAGCAGAGTGAAATAAGATGCAGTCCTTAAAATCAAGTAACGTTAAGTATGCTTTGCGGGGAAAGATTGCTTAAGCATATAACGAGAGAATCTGCAAGCAGCTGGTCTATTTAACTACTTTGAATTATACATTTCTTTCGGTTAGGATTATTTACTTATCGCAGAACTTCAGATAGCTATACACTTCCCTCTTAAACATAGTTAGGATTTGAATGATTCATCCTTCTCTTCTTTTACTAAATATTTGTAGTTGAAACTGCTATTTTGGGAATTATAAACATAAAAATAACGTTTTTCAAAGCTCGAAAATCTTATTTAAGCTGACGGATGACACATATTTTTTATAACCAAGATTTTACTTTATTTTCTTTGCTTATAGATTTACTTACCAAATTACAATGCGCTATGGACTTTGTTCCTGCCAAAGCAGGTAGACATTGTATGTAAGTAGTTTTGACGCTTGTGAAACATTTCAATGTACAGCAAATTGTGTTTTTCATCATTTCACTTTCCAATTATTGCTTATCATAGAATAATTTTTATGAAATTTAAAATGCCTTCAATACATCCCAAGAGATGGCGCACCAGCTCCCTCAACTAAAATGCTTTTCATCCCTACTAATAGATGGCGCCACACGACGCCTCATTTGTTCAAAGCTTACTTTTCTACGGACGGAGGCACAGAGCCTCCGTCGCTATAATCTCTGAGTTCAAGCACAGTATGTGCACAAGTACTTCCATATTATTGGATGCAACTTACTCGATTCCTCAAGCATTTAAAAGCCAAGTATAATATATTGGTAAAGGCCGTACATGTTCAAAGTGATAAGACACAGACAAAGACATATTTTTTATTCAAGCAAACATGCGTATACCTCTTTTTTATTCCAAAATGAAAAAAAACTGATAACTATTAACACTGTAGAGTCATTAGGTTATTTCTAATCCACGAGATGTGAAGTAAATGGGCAATGCCCTCGTTGGTCTCGAACCTGGATCTCTCGAATACGAGCTGAGCTTACTACAGTTACACCATAAAGGCAAGCAGGAAGGAGAAAGAAAATGCTTTATAACATATTCTTGAATCTTCTTTCAAAGAATTATAATAAGGAAAATGTTAAGAAATACATTTCTAGTAAATGAGGTAAAATTATTATATTGTGTATTGGTTGATGCTTAATAATAGCATCTAATGTAATTTCTATCAGATTTGACAAAATAGATATACACGTTTTAATATTTTATCAACCTACCGGACTGATGTTTTTAAATTTTTACATAACTTTTGTATGATTTTTAAGAAATACGTTTTAAACTGCAGTTTTAAAAGTAAAAAAGTTTTGAACCATTTATTTTCAATAAAGCATGCCTTTGCTATGAATGCTTTACAGTCGACAGATAATTGTGCCCTCATTATTTGTGTTAAATACTTGTCATATAGTTTTATTTATTATCTAATTATTCAAGTACATCCTATTCTATTTACTAAAATAATTATCTTTAGACTTAGCTGTTTCATACATTTAGAATAAAAGGACAGGAAACGCACTTTCTGCTTAAATGTATCAGAGAAACTTCTTATGATTTATGATAGTTTGATTTACCTTTACAAAAGATAATGCAAACATTGAGATTAAGGCATTTAATTGAGTTAGTAATGATAGGGCAACAGTAATTAATGACAAATATATTTAATTAGAATTTATCATTGACATGTTAGGCAATGAGCGGGAGCTCGAAACTCATAACTTCGGCTTTACGGTGTTATATGCATTTGCACTGCCGGCACTGCCATGTGCACAATGTTCCTGCCATCACGTGAAGCGGTGCACTGAGGTAGATGCGATCGAACACGCGGATTCGTCGTACCCGCATCCAACGGTCACATATCCGTATTACAGTTGTTTGATTTTCGTCCAACACGACTACGATTTCCCTGAAAAATACTCACACTCTCGGTAGGCCACTATACTTTCTCTGTCGAACTCTAGGCCCACCAGCGGCCGAGCGGTAACGTCGCTGAACACTGGTAGTTCGGTCCGAGGTTCGAATCCCGCGAACGGGCTGGCTGCATTGGCGTTTTCGTGGTTTTCCCCATGTGTAACGTGTATACGAGTCAGTTTCCCTTAGAAAGTCCTCCACGAAGGCATCCCTCCCCTTAGGCAGATAGCTCTCGTGTGCTTTGCCATAATTAAATACACCACCACACTTCCTATGTCGAAGTCGGACACTTGATCAAACGATGATCGCTGTTTACTACGAGGCATAATTGATCGTTTTTTTTTTGAAAAAAAAAAAAAAAAAAAAAAAAAAAAAAGGAAAAGAAAAACACAATTGCCGAACTTTAAATCGTCGTAAACTCCAAGCCTTAAATAGCGCTTTGAAGGGGCACGACAGGCGCGTGTGATGTGCGTCTACCTTGAAATTCTAATCATTTGCATATCTCACCTCCGCTCCTGTACGTTGTAAATTTCATGTTATTTGCATGCTTCCTTCAGGGTGTTGCATTTACGGTGGCCAGCAGTGTATGACCCTATCTATCTAACACGACCCCTTCACAAAGTGGCGCCCAACGTTAATGTTTAGCTTAGTTAGTAAAGAATTTTCCTTGGCTTTTGCTCACTTTCTTTTTCAGAAATAGTACTTGCATCCACACCCGCTGGATGCAACTTTAGAAAAAGAAATACCTCACCCATCAAGTATGAATTTTTTTGTGTGTGTGCCACTCCCATGGCTTATCAGCAACAAATAGTTGTCGTCAATGATATAATTTGTTTTACATTTAAACACTAGTGTTCTATAATGTGTTAACTCTTAATGTTGAACACCTGAAAGTAATTAAATATGAAAACGTAAAAGTACTTTACTGTGTTCTTAAAGTATATATGTATATCTTTTATGAATATTATATCAAGCCAAGTGTCCCACATGATAGGTTGTGTCAGACTCTTGGTCTGTAATTTTCTTAAAGTTAAATGTAATCTCCGTGTGTAACTTAAAACGTGTTAATAAATACTTGTTACGCTATACAGGACTCTTCTACGACCCTATCTAAAACAACCCCTCACAGATGTATGTTTCCCTCTGAATACACGCAAGGCTTCTAAAATAGGTAACATACATTTGCAAAGCAGTGTTCTTAAATACTGTTACGAATAAACAATCGTGTTTCCAGATTTCGCTGTTTTGAATGATATATTTGATCTATACACCACAAGAACAAAACATATCGTGCTTTTCCGTTTTGTTTTCTAAGGTGAACATACGAGTGGAAATATAATCCATTTTCGAACCATTTTTGAAAAATGGGAAGAGTGAATACATTTTGTGATTCTTTCGAATCATTCAGTCCTGTTTCATCTTTCGTTCAATTCACTAAGCGTATTCTAAACCATGTTAGGAAATGGAAAAGATGAGCGAGTTCGCTTGACAAGAGGAAAACCTATTTTAAGAAAGTATTCCCACTTTCAACGGAAAAATTCCCCGTGGCTCACTACAAGTAGTAGCTTTATCACGAAATTTCTTATAAAAAAGGTTATTTCTTAATATTTTATTTGCTTTGTAATATTCGCTCAAGGTTTAGTTGTAGAATTGTTGCTATGTATCAGTTTTCGTTTAGGTTGAAATGTTTTCATATATACTTACGTTCTGTGTGAGAATCATAAATGCTAAATAATAATAAAAATTAGCGTACATAAAATAGTCCCTTCTTTATTTATGTAAAGATTTTCCTTGTTTATTGCTAACATTTTGAGAGGGGTCATAAGTGTGAACGTAAAAGTAAAGTCATACAAGAAGCTTGTACAAAGTAAATGTATCAGTAAAGCGGTATCCTGAATGTAAAGATGCTCAGTTACTATCTTATATTCACAGCTAAGAAAATTCGTATTCTTCTTTATGAGATCATAAATATTTTATTCAAGCAGAGAACTTTTCGGATTAAATTTAAATTAATAAATTTTAAATTAAATACAAATAATCCCTAAACTATGCAAGTTTTCAAAAATTTTTTACATTGAATATAGTAAATGAAGGAATACGTACCCCCTACTGAAAATGTTATCATTTCCATCAATTTCATCAGAATATTTTGAATCAGTTCTTACTGATTCAAAACATTCAGTTTGATTTTCTGTCTACAGTTAGTGAAAAATGAATAAAAAATAGTTCAGCTTGAGGAATTTGCCCAAATTAATGATGAAAATATCGCCAGCTGCAGTTTCGTTGCAACTACTCAAACGTTGTCAAAACGTTGTTGAAATAAACATAACGGAAAGTTTTAGTGTTTAAATGCAGTTTGGAATATGAAGTGGAAGAAAGGAAAGTATGGCTCAGAACAAGTTTTTTTTTCACGCTTTTGATAGGAACGGAGTGGAAGCTACGTCACCGACCAGATTATCGTGTAAAGAGAGTTTTAAAGTTTCTAGGAAATGCAGATTAATGCGAACAATAATTTGGCTTCTAAAAATGAAAATTCTGAATTTTATTATGCTTCATGTCTTAATGTGTTCATTTAGCCTGAAAGTTAAAGGTCTGCGAGTCTGTCCAACATAAGCAAGCTTGCTTTACGAGGAACTTCGTAAGTATTCCCATGGAAAAAGGTCTGGTATTCCGTCTTTTATAAATACGAATCTGATTTTACAGGTAGGTTTAAATAAAACTATAAAACCATTCTTTTTTTAAGCATTTGGAAAATTAGGACTAGATTCAGGGATGGATGGAAGAGAGAGAGATAGGGAATTTATAAAATCCTTCGTGGCTATATAGGACTATATAGGACCTTGGCTATATAGGACAAAACCGTAGATCTTTTAACTTTAGGGTAAAGGAGCACATTAGGTATGTGAAGTAAAAGGAAATGAAAAGGTTTTCAGTTGCTTCTCATTACTAGGATATGAGCCGCAATTTTCATTTTCCGAAGCAAAAATTATTGCTCGCACCAATTTGCTAGAAACTGCATTTCCTTGAAGCTTCGAAAATCTTTTTACATAACACTCTGATCGGTGACGTTCCTATCGATTCTTGGAAAATCTGTTCCAATTCCCATCTTCCTTCGTTTGACTTTATATTCTAACTTGCACGTGAAAAACTACAATTTCCCCTGTATTTAATGTACAAGCGACGCTTTTACAGTGTTGAATTAATTACAACAAAATCATAGTAAGCGATATTTTGATCATTATTTGTGCTAATTCTCACTTTGAACTACTTTATCTTTATTTTAAACTGAACAAAGGTATTTTCCTCAAGTATATGCAATTAGAGAAACCTTAAAAATTAGAAAAGAAAGTTTATTGATATGAAATCAAACTGAGAACAAAGCAAAACGTTCAAGCTCAAAAAGCTCAGAAATGTAACATAGAATCAAACGAGTTACAATTATAGCACTACGGCAAGGTTCCAGGATATTGTGTTACTACACTCGGATTATCTTTGCCACAGAGGAATGTCTGTCATTCACTGAACATAAGTGAGTGGCTCCAACGTGCCAGATATTTCTTCAAAAATTTTGGCACTTCATTAACTCTAATTACTTACAGGAAGATGGGAAGGAGATTCCTTTGTCATCATCGGACGTCAGCCTTAACAGAAGACAATTGGGCTTCATGTGTGTGTGTGATTATGGCAAAGCCTCGAGGGCTATCTGCCTAAAGGGAGGAATGCCTTCGTGGAGGACTTTCTAAGGGAAACTGGCTCGTATACACGTTACACATGGGGAAAACCACGAAAACGCCCATACAGCCAGCCCGATCGCGGAATTCGAACCTCGGACCGAACTACCAGTATTCAGCGACTTTACCGCTCAGCCGCTGGTGGGCTCAATTGGGCTCCATGCAGCGTCAATCCTTCAATGGCGTTTTAATAAAGAGTAAGGTATTAATGAAGTCCATCATAATTAATAGAAATTCTTCGACCAGATTTGTATTTTAAACACAGATTTCTCTACAGAATGATATTCTTAAAAGGGCTTTTAATTTAGATTAAACAACGATTTTTTTAAAAAAATTGAACAGGAAATACAAATTTTGAAAATAGCTATTTTTAAAATTATGGGGCGCCTAGTTTGCAGATTTAATGGAAGAAGGAGAAATTTTGAGTGAATTTGAGTTTGATTTATAACAGAGAAAGAGATGAACCATTCAAAAATCATTGTAGTGATATTTGATACATTATATAATGAAAAGACGGCAGTTCAGGAGTCCCTGTGGCAGTCAATCCCATTCCTACAGCAATGCAGTTTTCAACTCAGAGATGGTTCTCGGAGAGAGGTGGCGAGATAAAATTGCTTTCCAAGAACGTTCCAGACATGCTGCATAGGGTTAAGATCAGGAGATCTAGGTAGCCAGTCCATGCGGCGAATATCATCACTTTTCAGGTAATCGTCCACCGGCTGAGCTCTATGTGGACGAGCGTTGTTATCCATTAATAGGAACCCAGCACCAACTGCGGCCCTGAAAAGTCGAATATGATGCTCTAAGATCTCCTCTCTGTATATCATGGCAGGTATAGAGCCTTTGTCAAATACGTGCAGGGGTGCGCTTGTCCAACATGTCTGCCAAATCATTACACTTCAACCGTAGTAATTTGTTCCTTGATGAGAAAAGGATGGTATCGTTTTCCAGGCTCTCTACAGATACAGGTACGCGAAGAATCAGTGTCCAGCTTGATTTCATCTGTAAAAAAGAACGATGCTCCACTGAGGTCTGGTCCAAGGCGCATGTCCACTTTGGTAAACGCGCTTTCTTATGCGCTTCAGTGAGCAGGGCGCAAAAAGCGAGTCTTCTGGAATAATGACGTATATCAAAAAGCCTTCGGGGAGCTGTAGACCATCAAACTCGGGTTACAGTGGCAGCATACCGTTCAGGTGAGAGCTGTGAAGCTGTAGTAGCCCTGCGTTACACTGAGCTCTGTAGCCACCTGTGCTTATGATTGGCTTCCTCGAATCCACCGAAACTCTTGAATATCATTCCCTCATCCATATATTCTTGGCTTCTCATTTTATATGATAGCTTTTAAAATTTCCGCTACTCTTGCGAGAAACGAGGCGAATGTCGTGAAGGAGTACGAGCACACAAATTGCCGAAAACCCCTCGTGGGTTTATATCCACTTCATAGTCACAGCCCTGCAGACACGCAAATGTATGCTTAGATATTCAACTCTCAATATTTCTATAATTGTTCGGCGAAATAATTAGTAATTACCTTTGGTTTAATACTAAAATTATGTCGTAAAATTTACGATAAATTATGTCGTAAAAATAGACACAATTCATAAATTCTCTTAATTTTGCACATGAATGTATTAAGAATATCAGCTTAAGTCATTTATGTAAATTGATCTCGTACTCCTTCATATTTCACACGGTAAAGCATATTTCAGATCTCTCGCAATATTTGGCTAGTAAACGTTCAGTAAGAAACTGACTGACCAATAGTCTCGAACCTATTTACATGGAGATTTCCTGATACTTGTTTCTTGATCCGTAATGGAAGACAATCTATCTTAACCGGATTTAAACTTGTTAAATTTTGCAGCTGTGCAGAAACAAATTTAAAGAGTTTGTACTAAAAACAGGAACCGTTCAGTATTTTTTAATGATATTATTCCCCGAAGTATAATAAGTTCCATGTAATTAAAATATTTTTTTCATTAAATCAAGTAAAATACATTACTGAAAATGTGAGTTCGCAAGAAGACAAAGATTATCTCAGAATGTTTAACGTTCATGAAACATTTACCACTAAATTACACATGGTTTCATACGTCCAAGACCATAAAGCAGTCATATGTCATATCAAAGGAGACAAATTTTACTGCTTGCAACGCATTTTTTCATTTATAATAAAGAGGTTTAAGAAAATTGAAATCAATATAGAAAAATATTACCTCGTATTTAAATAACATTTTACCTGCAGTTATGGGACTTGAGTCTTATAAATTATTTTAAACAAAATGCTAGATAATTATACATCTTTATATTTATATCAAGAATTACGCAAGAAAGTTAAACTTATTCAATGTAAAAAAAGAGAATAAATTATTAAATTTTAGTTATGCTAACCAGAGCACGTTCTGCCATCAGCATTCAATTTATAACCATGATTGCATCGACAGTAGTAACTTCCTAAAGTATTGCAGCAATGTTGTTGACATCCACCGTTATTGACAATACATTCATTGACATCTGAAATAAAATTTATATTCAATTACCACTTGCAAAAATATCATAATCGGTAAAAATAATATAATTTAAAAATCTCGATACATTCTGACAAACCAAGAGTTTCAAATCATAATGTTAGGTTTCTAGAGATCATTTAAAGAAAAGAAATAAAACATTACCAAAAGAAAGAAAATAAATAAATAATGAAAAATATATTAGTATGAAATTAAAATAAATATACAAACAGAAGAAATATGTAAATTTCTGAGAAATAAAATTTTGAGGTATAGTCATTTATTAAAACATCATACAGTGTTGCAGAAACAAATTATCATAAATTCAAATAATTATTTTTAATGAGAGAATAAAGAGGATATTTTAAATGTCTAAGAAATAGAATAAATGTCGAAGAAAAATAGCATAAGCAAAATTATTATATAAATAAAGATAAATTGTTTATTTAACTCTTTTCATTCTAATATCAGTCTTTTAAAAAAGTACATAATAACCGAAAGACACATCTTGCATCAAACCATTTAAAACAGAAAAAGGAGTAATTACTTTTTCATGTAATCAATAAAATTCTAGCTCATTTATTGTCAGCTTACGAGCAATTGTCTCAATTCATTTTATCAGGGGTTATTTCCAAGTTAAATCTCTTTATTTCTTTTCTAGATAAAATGTGTTACTTTAGTTAAGAAGTGCATGTTCATATTAAAATTTATTCAGTTATTGTTTAAGCATGATAATTGACTGCTAATATTCTTCTACTTTGAAGCTGAGCTTTTATCTGTATTTGCCTTTTGACATTTATCAGGCTCTATTAAATTTATGACTGTACTTGAAGAACTGCTCAAATACTTTTCCATACTGTACAATGGATAAATATAGTTGTTCGACGTATTTACTCCGATTTTAAAGTTTGTTTAGCTTTTTATAGAA